TGGAGCACAAGGTCAGTAGGGGAATTGGTGGGAGACGAGGTCATGAAAAAAAAATAGGGGCAAATTGTGGTTTTTCTTGCCTCTACTAATGCTCTTGAATTGTGAACTAGAGGTTCTCTCCTTTATGCAACTCATTAATCTCTCAACTTAATGAAAGATAAGCTACGTAGTTATTGTTCATCACCCAGAAAGAATTAATGGCACATTTCTTCAAATAGTAAGAATGTGTAATATATTTATAATGTGATTTGCTTTGTAAATGTAGATTGATATGCAACTTTCCAGGAACACGTGGATTGTAAACAAACTATATCTTGACTGGTAGGAGTGTCATCTCACCTGCATAGTTGGAAGGGCAGTCAGAGTTGTTTTTTTATACTGAGGGAAATATATTTGTTTAAGAGGCTGAGGAGATGGCTAAAATAAGATGTGAATAAATATTATTTGCTTATGCACCAAATGCTTGGGAACTTTTTAACCATTGATTGCAAGGAAGCAGTCTTTGATCTTATTGATACATTCCTTCTCTGGATTCAGATTTTGAAGGTAAAATAAAGTTTTAATTATGAACCTCTTGGTATCATTACATTTAGACTCCATGTATATTTTTCTCTATAAGTTTCAGGTATTTCCTGTATCTAAATAAAAGCTTTTTATTTTGAACTAATTTTAGATTCACAAAAATGTTGCTTAACTAGTATGGAAGGGATCATTGCACTGTATTGTATATCCCTTGCCTATCTTCCCCTAATGTTGACACCTTTTATCACCATAGTGGAATTATTGATGATGGTGCAATTATCAAATAAACAAACAAACAACAAAAAAAAGGAAATTGATATTGTTTCAATACTGTTAACTAAACAAAAGTCTTATTCTAATTTCACCAGTTTTTCTACTAATGTCTATGTTCTGTGCCAGGATCCTATCCAGCAACCACATTGCATTTAGTTGTTATTATTTCTCCTTAATCTTTTGCATTTCTGTGACAGTTCTTAAGTCTTTCCTTTTCTTTTATGACCTTGCCATTTTTGGTTATTTTGTTGGAACACTTCTCCATTTGGGTTTGTTTGATAGTTTCTCATGTTTCAACTGAGGTTATGCATTTTGGGCAAGGCTACTTCACATATGATGTTGTATCCTTTGCAGTACATCATATCAGCACATTCATGGTGTCAGTATATCATCACTAGTTAGGCTGACCTTGACCACTTTGTCAAGGTTATTTTTTCTTTGTACCTTTAACCCTGATGGTTTATCACTATCTGCTATTTCTGACAGATAACAAAGGTAACAGATCATGGAATGTAGAACCAAAAAGGACCATCTTTTGTTAACACACCCATCCTTTTACAGCTAAGCACCCAGGAGCTTGAACAGGATAATTATTTGCCCAAAGGTCACAGCTATTTAATGACAGACCAGGAACTTAGCAGATAGATCTCAGAGATCCAGGTTTGATACTCTCTATACTTCCTAGCTGTGCTCAAATACTTGTAATTCACTTAGTCCTGGTTTTACCAGACTATGAAAGCTAAATGGACTATATGACTATCCAGCCAACCTTTGCTCAAAACTTAAAACCAGTCTAAGAGAGAAATCCCAGGGAAGTATATACTCCATAGTGCCCACTCACAGAGCTGGGCAAGGCTGGAAACCAGATGAACTTCTGTATCAGCATTTCTGAAATGAAAATAATCTCATGGAATGCTCCACATAACACAGAGAAAACAATAAAAAAACCTACTTGAGATTTTTAACAGAAAAAGGAGATTTGTTTATTAATAATTCATGAGTTTCCATTGAACATGCACGACAGAAACAGTGCTTGCTATTCAATAGAGAATACTGTCATCTGTCACTGTTTTATTTGACATTTACACTTTTTTTTTTTGCCTGATATTGCAAAACTTTCTTGGATGGCATGCAAAAATTATCTAAATGAAAAAAATCCCAATGTGGGGACCCTTTATCTCTTCTGTGATGGGTTCACTCACAGTTACATACGTGTGTGTTCATGCAACCGTGTGGCACTTTCTCACACATTCATTAGCCAGCAAACAAGCTAATAAGAGACCCTATTGAGAAAACAGAGATAAGCATCCAAAATGCGCTGGTGAAAAGATGATATGAATAAAATGATGGTGCGTGCGATGGGAAGTGAGGTGGAAGAATAGATTCCCTGAAGATAGGCATACAAATACGTGGAATGAACAAGCAAACCAGAGCAAGGGGAAGGCAAGTCATGGCTGCCATGAAGAAAACTGACACAAAAATACGTTGCCAGTTCAGATACAAAATAAATACCTATAAATGGCATCACAGGAATGCTCATAGTAGGGAATAACAGCCTTTAGGAGAAGAGCAAGGTAGAGTTAGGATCACCTTCCAATTTTGTGCTACTATAAGGCTCTTGACAGTCTTTCTGCTCTGTAGGTTAGTTATTATTTATAAAAATCACAGAACCAGCTGATACATTCAAAGCTAATTATTGAGGCAGCTGGGTACACATGGTGCAATATGTCCAAGGCTGTGAAGTATCACAGATTTCTTGGGGCCTGCTGTGGTGGGGGTGTGCTGTTGAAGGCTCCATCCCTTAATCTGATCAGCCAAGCAAACACTTTGTGGGGAAACTAGATTAATAACCCTCTAAATACCATGAATTTGCTTCATCTCTAAAACTGGGTTTCCTTAAACATGCTATTAGCTCAGCTCCATCAGGGATTTGAGGAAGTCCTCTGGTGCCCTAAGAACAGGGTCTTGTTGGCTACCTCCCTGTGCCAGAAATTAATTTAGTTTGCTTATGTCTGCACACATGATCACACTTGTGTCTAATCTGCTCCCTAATAGCTTCAAGGTCAAGACCTTGCACGTCAGTGGGCAAATTGAGCACTACACTTCTTAAAGACTGATGGCAGACAGCACACAGTCCATAACGAGTCCTGTAGTGTTGTTCTAAGTTATTGTAATGAGTGCAGATTATAACAGCGCATATAAATCAAATGTGGCAATGAATGTTGTGCGAGACATTCCCAGTGTCATAAGTGGAGATACCACTCAGCTGTCACCTGTCTCCTTTCTAGCTGCAGCTTCCCACAATGCAGTTCAATCCTTAAGCGGAACAGCAGGTGCTGTCTTCCTTAAGATCTGGGTATCTCAGATCTTCATCTTTTAACAGATGCAGGTTTTTGTTTCTATTTTCCATTAAATGATTGGTCTCCATGCCCTTGCCTCCCCTGGGAGATGTTAAACATACCTGTTTGAAACATTGGAAAGAATTCAGTTGGAGACTTATTCAGATTTGTGAAAAGATAGAGAGGTAGGAGCTTATTTTTCCACAGATGGTTTGATTTCCATTTCAAGAATTCTTTTACTTTATGCAAAGAAACCCTTGAGGAAACACTTGGGGACTAGGAGATTTTTAAAAAATATAGTTTATTTTCTGGTAGGGATAAAAAAATTTGTATTCATTTTTCATATACATTGCACCTTGAAAATCAACCATTACCTGCCTTTCAGTTGAGCTGAAAAAAAAAATCTATGACAATACTTGGAAAAACACTTCCAAGCAAATGATGAGATATCTTGTTTTCATTCTTCCTAACCTTCTAACTCTCCCAAGCTTCCAGTTTATTGCAAGAAAAGATCAGGTCTGCGCAAATGTGGCCTCTCACTTGTAAAAACAAGGCAGTGTTGTGTTACAGATTAGTTTATAAATCCCCGGTGGCTTCACAGTTCAGTGCCTACAGCTGCTGCAGATGGGCCTGGGTTTTTGTCTCTTCGCAGTGCTGCAGCCGGCAGTTGAAGGAGAAAATGGAATGATCAGGTTATTAACATGGAGGCCGCGAGGAAGAGGCTGCACAATGAGAACAGCTGGTGTTGCTGTCTTGGCTGATGCAGCGGAGATAATCAAATCTTGCCTTTTTTTTTTTGGGTAAAGGCAGAAGACACAGTGGAGAGTTAGACAAACAACGGCTTATGATATTATATGGGGTTTTTATAATGCGTGTCAGGAACTTTCATTGGCTTACAAATGATGATACAGAATTTGTTGAGGTTTGGGAATTATTTTTCACAAAGTCATTTCTGTTTATGCACCTTTTAAGAAAAATTTTTTACTCTTTTGCAAAAGGCGTGATGTGGGACAGTTCTTGTTTTTAAAATTAGCGACATAGCTTGAAAATGATGGGTTAGAAAGCTACTGGGTAAAATATTTTGACATGAGTCAGTGAGCGATGTTGACAGCATCCTCTGTATTATTTTCATATAATCCATCATTATTTGCATTACATTTTCTTTCTCGTGCAGTTGCAAGAGAGAGAACATCCGGATGCCAGAGTTTGGAAGCAGACATTTGCAGGTGTGACCCGACCAACTGCCTACCTTCCTGCAGGTGTGGCTGTGGCGGGAAGGTGATGGTTAAGAGGGCCTAGAGGCCAAGGTGTTCAGAGATTAAGCACATATACATTTCTTTTCATTCTAGCCAAGGTTATTGCTTCTATTTTGTGGAGTTACTGATAATTGTAAGAATATTTCCTCCCTAGAGAATTCATGTTATTTACACCTAAACGATTTTTATTTTTTAGAATTTGCTGTCCTGTAATGCATATTTGTTTATCTTCACTCTTTTCTTAGCATGAAGTGCTGCCCAGTTGGGTAATTTTTAAAAATTGTAGCTGACCAACACAAATTACTTTTTTTGAGAATCGGGTAACTGTAATTTTGCTTATCTTTTATGGAGAAACTTCAATTGAGAATCTATTCTGTAGGCAGAGCAATACGATATTTAACAAGAGGAAAGATACTTGGGTGTTGGTATAACCACCCATGTGGTCAGGGGTTGGTTTTTAGAGTCATACTGTTTCAGTATCTCCCCTGCTTGGCGGGAACAATTTTGACAGAAAATGATGATCTACTGGGATGGCACCGGACCGCAGTCAAGGTCCCCTCAGCTCCTCTGCACTCTCCAGGTTAATGCAAGCAACCTCCTCTCTCTCCAGGGCTGGCTGTGTGAACTGCTCCGCTGGAAGGAGAACCCAAGCCCAGAAAACCGCACCCTCTGGGAAAACCTCTGTACCATCCGTCGCTTCCTGAACCTTCCCCAGCATGAGAGGGATGTGATCTACGAGGAGGAGTCGAGGCACCACCACAGTGAACGCATGCAACACGTAGTCCAGCTTCCACCTGAGCCAGTGCAGGTCAGTGTCCCTGACCCCCGCTCCCCACCTGAGCAGGGCTCTCTGTGCCAGCAGTAGCTGCTGAGGGTCCAAGTGGTACACACCACACTCACTTCTGTCAGAGGATGTCTCATGCCAGGTCCCCAATTACAAAAGACGCTGTTGTCACAGTGGTACTGTGTGTGTGCATGCGTGTGTGTGTTTATGTGTACATACATACAAAAGAAAAATGGCGAGAAAAGTTGAATGCCAAAGACAGCTGCTTTCCTGAGAGCATTTTGCTTGTGGGATTGTAAAGCCAGAGCACTCACGGAGAATTGAAATCTCTCAGTTGGAAAACATGGTTTCCATCAGTTCATTTTCCATAAAAAAAAAAAAAACCTGTGAAGTAGTTTTGCATCCAAAATTCCTCAAAGAATGTTTGATTAGACTAAGAAGAAATAGCCACATGACCTAGGGAATACCACTGAACTCAGCTGAACCTTGAGAGACAGATTGTGACAGATTCTTAGAATTTTAAGATGAGCTTTGCTGTCTTTGGTTACATCTCATTTAGAAATCTGCCTTCCTTTAGATTGTGTGTTTTGTTGGCTTAGTTTTTGCTGTCATTGAGAGAAATAATATTGCTTTCCCAAAGTAATTGAGTTTAACTACTGACTCTTTCTGTAATCTAAAATTAATTGCTTTCAAGAAGAAATATTAATTGAGATTTCCAACGTTAGACCCCCTGCAGTTTGGCCCACAAATTGTTTGGGTAGGTTATAAGATGGGCCTACTGCCCAATACTCTCAATTTCAGCTGTCGCCAAAGAGGACCCTTCAGCCAATCTCTGAATCTCCTGGAGTAAAAAGAAGAAAGTTGAGGCATGAGTGCATGTGCACATGTGGGTGCAGAATGGAAGAGGAGAAGATAAAGGGAGAGTGAAGCACAGTTTCTTGATAGAGAGGAGTGGTGAGGGATGTGGTGAAACACCCCACCCTGAGGTTTCTGTCTCCTTTCCCCTTGCTCCCCCATCACACGCTTGGGAGAAAAGCCAGAAGTTAACAAGTTCTTACATCACTTTTCATCTGAATAGCATCCTCTCTACCAGTGCTTTTGTGCTATACTTTTGTGCTATCATTGGTCAGTTTCCAGGGTCAAAGTCACAGAGTGAAGTGCCCAAATTTAATAGTTTGACAATTAGACTCATGAATTTGTAGAGGTGGTCTCTTGCAGTATCCACAGTGATCCCAGAGTTGGGGGTGGGGTGATGAGGGTACGTAGCTCGTCCTCACCCTTCAGGACCCACCCTCCCCCTTCCCTTCTTGGTCCTTTTCTGACCTCATCCAAGCAGCAGGGCACCTCCCTATAGATAATTAAACCTGCTTATTGAGTCACGAAGAGCAGTGGCTTTCAGATTTAGAGATTTAATTGAAGTTAAAAATAAAGAGGGGCCCAATATAGGCTTTCTAACCTTTAATTTTAGAAAATAAATTTATTTGAAAAGTTTTAGGGAAGCTCCTAGTTATAATGAATATCATTTCATAACATACTCTTTGATATTAAACAGATTAATGAAATGGAGAGCCTCAGACAAAAGATCATATCAATGGTACAGTTAGGTCATTTGAAAATCTATCACTCCCCCTGCACCACCACCGCCTTTTTTTCTCATTTTGATGTGAACTGGATTAGACTTCTGTCTTGAGCCAACACAAGGCCAAGGACTTGCTTCAGGGAATCACTGGCTTTGCATGGAATTTTTATTCAGGGTCTATCTTAGTTCAGAAAATGAAGGAAAAATGAAACCGCAATGAAAAAGTCATTTATTCTACATACTAATAACAGCTAATTTTAATCATAAAATGATGATAAAGTTGGAAACAAAGAAATTTGAGATAAAAGTACTAAAATTTGAGATAAAAGTACTAAAATACATTATTTGTTATAATTGAGGGCCTCCTTTCATCTGGATGACAGCTCTTATACCATGCCTGTCTGTTTTTTGTCCATAAATTTTCATCTTAGTGGGCCCTCTGTTGAGGTAGCTAAAAGGATATTCAACATAATATTTTGTCTTATAGTTGGCCAGTTTGAATACAGTAAATCTTAGAAGCAGACAGCCAGTGGATTTATGAGTTTTATTATCTTTTCTATTAGTATGTCAGAACTAGAGTATGCTGACAATATTTAATGGTTAAGCAAGAATCTATAATTTTCCTTTTCAGTTTTAAGTACCTTGTGACTATTAACATAACTTCTGATAACGCTAAGAGAAAACGCACTTACTTTATAAAAGGTTGTTCCCGTTACTCAGATCTTAGCTAAAGAGTGTACAAATAAGGTAATTTTCTCTGAAGTGAATTTGCCTCAGCCGTTGACCTTGAGCTCATAACTACTGTGAAACTCATCAGCACATCACATTTTTAAAAACCTTATGCCTATATCTAAGTGACACTGCTTTGCAATGTTGAATTTGTATTTGTCAGCAAAATGCAAAGCTGTGGATTGTTTATTACAGTCATAGTATGAAAAGTGAAGAAAAATAACTGACATTAGACAGCAGAACTCCTGAGACATAGCGAATACAGTTGGGACAGACTCTGTGACTCTATTTAAAAACATACCAAGCTATTACAAAAAGGTCTGTAATTGTCCAAAAGCCAGGAACTCGGGATTGGAATTCACTTGGGCCTTTAATATCAACTCAGTTTTTAGCGAGATACAATTACTTACCTGTTTTAAAAGTCTTAAAAATTTATATGTAGAATAATATTAGTTTGGTGATGTTACATTTTTGTCTAATTAGATAGGAAATGTCCATTATTAAATGGTTGAGTATGGGTGAAATCAGTGATTTTTAAGAGCTTCTGATATATGCAACATATTAAAAAACACAGAAGTCCCCTCCACTTGTGGTCGTGGAAGCGTGCCATTTAAATTTCTTTAGGTAATTAGGGTACACTATTCCCAAATTTTTCATAAAAATGGTAAAGATACGAGGCAGTGCTTTCTGTGCACAATTACCCACCAGATTAATCTGTTGTATTAGGGTCCCACAGATGTACTGGAATAAAAAGAGGGAGCTTTATATCACTCCTTCTCCATTTGGTGCTTTCTGTGATATTGAGAAGTCCCTTAGAGTCACAGCCTGTGTTCTTACAGAAGAGAGACACTTTATCTTGCTTTTTGTGTGAAAATGGAGTTGACAAATGGACAGTTTTTTATTGTCTTCAGATGTGTTTCTGTTAAGCGTACAGAGGGTTTAGAAATTTTAAGCCCCTGTCTTTTAAGTTCAGGAGTACACATACAGGTTTGTACATAGGTAATCTTGTATCATGGAGGTCTGTTGCACAGATTATTTCATCACCCAGGCGTTAAGCCTGGTTGCCGATTATTTTTTCTGATCTTCCCTCTCCTCCCACCTTCTGCCCTCCTATAGGACCCCCAAATCCTCATTTAAAACTTAGAAGATACCACGTAAAATCTAGAAAGTCAGATGTGATCCACGCTCAGAGTTTTATGTAGCTAGAACCAATGTCCTTCCTGCAGGGCACACACTCACTGTCCTGCTGCCCCGGACCCTGTCTCCCCTCCTCCAAGTGTACGTGCATATATAGCTGTCTTTTGATTTCTTGAGGCTTCCCTCCTATGAGGTCACCTGACGGCCAATCAAAGCCCCAAGTGTCTTTGCCCCATGGCTCCAGTTTCTTTAATGGTAGCTATTACATGCCATTTATTTTTATAATCCGTACACAGTTTTTTGCAGGCTTAAGTGTATGTTTTATAGAATTTCTCTTTAGAGATGAAACAGGTTATAATTGAGACCGAGCTGGGCCTGAGCCACTGAGGGATGTTGTCAGCCCCAAAGACTTGCCAGCCCTGGAAGAATGAGATGGTTCTTCCTTGAATATTTGGATTTCTTCAGGCGATGTGTAGCTTTGACATCATATTGAATTATCTGGTCTATCCAGGTTTCTCTTCAGCATTCTCAGTCTCTTCACAAACCCCCATTTGAGCCCCTGCTTTTGGAAGCTAGCTCTTCAGGATCTGAACACACTTCGTAAGCTAGATCCTGTCACATAATGAGTCCACAGTGGGACCAGCATTGCCCCAGCGGGGTCAGAAGTGGTTCCTAGGGAAGGGTAAATATCTTAGATTTGCAGTGGTTTGTGGCCCTCCAAAGGGATGTGGTACATAAAGAGATATATCTCTCTGGTATTAAAATTTCATACAGAGGGGCCACGATTAACACAAAAATGCCCTGAAAACCTTCTGAGGGGATTGGTACTGAAAAACAAGTTGAGATATACTACTCTACATAATGTTTCTAGTCCATGTGTAGATAGCACATAGGAGATCAACAGAGAGGAGACCTTGTAAGGCAAACCAAACCAAAGCATTTTATGAAAAAGAGGAAAGAAATTCCATTTTTCACCCCAAAAGGTTGGAGATAAAAGTATTTTCTGTGGTTGTAGTGATTTTTCTCCCAGTGGCTATTATAACCCAAGGCCTTATGCTGAGTGGATACTCTCAGCTTTGAATAAAATACTGGTTAGGTTAGGTTCATTACTACCAACTTCATTTTACAATTGGAAAAACTAGAGCAGAGACGTCAAGCCTTGCCTGAAGCCAGGGTCACCAGCGGAATGAAAACAGGCGATTTTGGCATCCCGTCTTTCCTCTGACCACACTTCCCTCCTCATGCAGGAGAGAAGAAAGGACATTGTTCATGCTGTGACTAGGTCACTGAGCGAGGGTGATTAGGGAGCGCTCACCAAATTGTTCCTGTCTGTGTCATTTGTGCTTTATTGTATTTCCACCGCACTGTTTCCATGGGTTATTTTGTAAGTTCAGGAATTCTAAGCTTGCTGCTGTGTGGTTTCCTGACAAGTACTTGTTTTAAAATTCCATGCTGTACATTGAATAAGAAATGTGAGACCCAGTTAGTGACAGTTAGGCACCAGCATTGTCCCTTGACTTGTCTGGGTTCTTCTCACTCAGGTGATTTTCAATATAAGCCACAAACTCCCTGTCCTTGG